TTACATTCAAAGCAACCGTAGGTACTTTACATCGCACCCCATCAATAAGGGATGCAAATTCTGGTGATTCTTCAATCACCCTGTGGCGAAACTACGCCAAATCCGCCTAAAATTGAGTTATTGAGGGCTCATACTTACAAATCCTGATAGCGAAAAATTCCGACCTGTAAGTCGACGTAGTGAGTTGCTCGAACGAAAATAAAAACCAACTTAATACAATCAAAAAAATACTAAAGGCACACTACATATAAGTTGTAATGGAGCCGAACCTCAATATTGAAGTTGGGGCGCAGCCCCTGCCGCGTCCAATAGCACGTAGGCCTGCGGGGGCGGGGGATACAACCCCGCCACTGCGCACTCCAAAGGGCCCCCAAGGCACGCTTGGGCGGACTGCAGCGGTGCAAAAGACAAAGACAAAGGGTGATTATTTTCCGATTTACTTTAGTCAATTGAATCTGTTCAAGTTGCTTCTCAAAAGATCCTACATAAAAATAACACTAATCCAGCGAAAAGTGTAAAAGCCCCTCTGGACCTCGTGCAGGCTGCAGGACGAAATTGAGGAAAGCAACTTGAACAAAACACACACACAGACAAAAGTTGTTCCAAGATTTGCTGTTAGATTCAACCAAAAAATCCAGGAAACTTCAAACGCAGGGGTTAAGTAAAAGCGTGTTTTTATCAAACTCACCGGCAAAATCGGATACTGTTGCGGCATATAGAACGCCTGGGGGTACATCATGGAAGCATAGGGACCTGCCTGCGGATGCCCGGCTTGAGTCTGGTAAACCTGAGGCGCTGCATCAGAAAACATTTTTTTTCAAAAACTCATATTCAGATTATTTAAACAATCACCTTGATAAACTGCAGCCTGCTGTGCAGCTGCAGCCGCCTGCTCTTGTCCAGCTTGAGACACTTGAACCTGGGCTTGGGCGGCTGTCATGGTTGGCACGGGGGCCGATGCGTAATAAGCGGGACCGCTCGGATAGAAGTGCGGGGTGCTGCTGAAGAAAAAGGGCGGAATGGCCTGCTGCAGGGCGGCCGGATGGGGGGCGGGTGCCGGCGAGCGTCCATCAGCCTGCCCATGAGTATCGTAGGGAGAAGCAGTGGGTGGGCGACCAAAGGGTTGCTTTTTAATAGCAGGCGCGATGTTTAATCGTCTTTCGCGCAGTACAATGTTGTCTGGATCGCGCAGCGGGCGGCGAGCATCTTCCTAAAAAAAAGTGTTTTTAAACGACGACAACAACGTGCTGTTGGGTTTTTTTTACCTCGGTCTCAAACGTAATAAAGCCATATCCTTTGGAAACTCCAGCTCGGTCTTGGATAATCTTAGTCGCCTTCACAGTGCCATAATTTGAGAACAATTGCATCAATTCCCCTTCAGTGGTATGAGACGATATGCCGCCCACAAATATGCGATTAGGCACGAGCGTGCCTGCAAAAAACCAGCTTTGAAAAACAGCCAAAACTTGCCGAACTAGTTGTAATTTGACACCACGAAACAGTGCCTTTTCGGACCGAATTTTCACCGATAAGCCCGGGCTTGTTTGTATATTTAAGGGCATTCAACGAACTCATTCTTCGTCAGCAGTTAAAGGGAACAAACGGCGTTTGTTAGTTTAGTAAATTAGTGTGTCATTAATGCTTGACTTATTAACTTTCTTCGATAAAGAGCCGCTTTTTTATTCCAAAATAGCACTAGAAAAATGTTGAATCATCGTGATTAGTTAATCGGTCTGATAAGAGTCCTACATACTCAACACAGCTGGGGCATCAACAATAAATGAATCATTTGGTAATCTGAATCTCAATACCCTAATAACCGCTAATGTAATAAACAATTAAACTACACACTACACGAGACAAACTCTGGGTATCAATGTTCGATTTCTTCTATGCGAGGGTCCACAAAACGAAAAGCTATTAGGGCCGGATTATCGTCTTGATTTTATGGCACACTACTTTTTCAGCTTGATTTATTATTTCCAATTAAAAACACGTTTGTCAGCAAACAAAAATGCATTGCGTGCATAGAGGCTGCTGAGTTTGAGGCTCATTTACTCTGATAAAATGCCCGTTAATTATCGCATTGAATAATTCACCGTAAATGTAATTAAATGAAAATTTACACTCAAGAAAAATAACGGACCATTCAGAAGCGGCGGGATTCCCTCCGAATTTCATTTAAACGCAATTAGCCTTTATCTAATCATTAAAAACCAGAAGTTACGCGAGTCTATACTGATGTGATCATTATCTAATATTTGCAATCTACTTGAAGGTATTCTTAAAAACCATAGGTAAAATGTGGCGATGAATGATAAATAGCAATAGAACCGATCTCTCGATTCAGCAACTTATCGGAACAAATAATGCAAAGCTAAATTTAGCAGAGGTTTAAGCATCTGAAATTCAATGTCGTTTTAGTCAAACACCAGTAATTGGCTACATCTTGCATTTTCTGTTTATTTCGATAGTTCTTGATAATATTGTCTGTTTTGGAACAGGAAAAAATAAAACCAGTTTTAATCCAGTCCAAGACCCGCCATCAGAACAGACAATATTCAGTCGCGCTGCTGCTCAGAAAGTACAATCAAAATCAATATTTTTTGCAATATTTGCACTTCAAGTGCCAAAGTTTCTCTGAGCCAAAACTGAAACCTTTCAAGCTGCGAAAGTGTCAAGTTGGAACGTAGCAACTCTGAAGCCAGCTGCATTTGCTATACACTCCCATACGTGCGAGTGAGAAAAGCCACTCGAGCTACGTTCCAGAATGAACATTGAATGAATTAGGAAATTTCATGAAACAAAAACATTGCACAAAATAACGCGCTTGTTGCCGCCGGTAAACCGTAAATGAAAAAAATTGGTTTTCACAAAAGTGAACGATTGTTGATTGAGCCCTGTTGGTGTGAGAATGTGAACCACTTACCATACTTGGGGGCATTAGCTAAAGGAGGAGGACTCGAACCTTGTAGACTGGTCCCATTTTGAACGGGAGTACCTGCAGGTGTCGGTCCACCTGAACTTCCATTCGAAAGCACTTTTTTGGTAGCTGGCCCTCCATTGCTAGCTATAGCGTTGGGTTGCTGTTGCTGTGTCATTGCGTGGACACCGACACTGGACATGATCGGTTCAGGTAGTTGCCTTACAACTATTCCTGCAAGAAAGCTGCATTAATTCTAAAAAAAACCAGTCAGGGAGCGACAGATGAGTAAAATCGTAAGAGCTTTTGTATGGACAAAATACAAATTAAATATAGGTGAGTAAACGTTGGGTTTCCAAATGTTAAGCTCAGATCATGTCAAAATCATCCAGCAAGGCACCGCACCAAATTTCCAAAAAATACCCATAAAAAATTCTTTGTGTCGATTATTGCAACTCTTTAGCACCTCCGTTATGGGACTGGCGGCTTGATCGATATTATCTTTCACTCTTGAGCGCACTTATAGAGGATGCCAAAAATGTGCTAGAAGATTTTTAATTCTTGCATTTGCCTGATCAATATCAAGATTTAAATGTAAAAAGTGGGGTGCACAATAAACGTTTTAAAAATGCCAACAAACCATAAAAACCCCACTTAAACCTATCAAAACACTCACTCGTAGAATGAAACACAAATTAACACTCAATCAACTGAGAAGATCTTTGCGGTTACACTAAAGGTTTTGTGTTCAAGTCGTCAAGGGTGAAAATAGGTATACAATAACACCTGTAAAGGCAGGTCCGTTTCAACAAGGGACGATTTATTGGAATCGAGTCATTAACCCAAACTGATTGATGAAAGAAGGTGGTTAAAAAGCATAATGCGTATGGTGATGTAGGCAAAAACAAAGATTTTACCCTGATGAAATATGCGGAAATAGTTCCCAAGTACAGTGCAACCCAGTTTCTTTGAACTTTAAATGACTTATGCGAAAAACTACACAGAGTAATGTTCTCAGAATTCCAAACACTTAAACTGGCGAGTTTTCTGGCTGTTGTGGAGAAGAATTTATTCCTGAAAGAGCTTCGTCAGGAAGTTCTTTCCTAAAAGCCCGAAAAACTCACCTGTTTCAAAGAACGATTTGCTGTTTCAAAGATTGAGCCAACAACGCACAACCATGAATTACTAGTTGGGCTATTGAATAGGAGATAGTGAAAAAAGGATCTAATGCTGAAAGTATCCAAGGATCTTAAATAGATTGTGTTGGCGATTAGTGGGTGATTTTTCGGAATTGGGTCATTCGATTGGAATCAGCCCTTACATAATGAGACATGCAGCAGCAGCACAATAAGCAATCGACAGTATGTGTCCCTAAACAGGCTGGCATTTAACCAAACAGTTGACTACGAAAAGCATAATCAGGTGAATACCCCATTAGGTATAAATGGGGAAAAAGTGGCAGTAAATCCCCAAGGAATATGCGGAAATAGTCGCAAATAGTCCAGCTAGTGAGTTGCCTAGACTTGACCCAGTTACAGTGGCCCATTTCCGTGCACATCGCTTTCCATCTGATTTTTAAGCGGAATGCATGCGGATCTGACTCCTTTCACTTTGCCCAATTACATCAATCAATAGTAAACAATAAAGCATTCAAATGGACATTCAGTAACAATCAACTAATGAAACTGGACATCAAAACACCACAGCAATATCGAAACAAAGTATGTTTTACCCATTTTCTGTTCAGAGCCCGGATCGGGCCTGTTTTACGGAGCCACTCTACAACAATGCACCAAACGAAAACACTGCAGTAAAGCTGCGGAATTTTAACGCGAAACTGTATGGACTACTTGTTAGTTTCGGCTAATCACCGAAGTTTCCCTTACTTGCAGGATTTGGGGCCTTTTCACGCACATTTATTCACTGTGTCTTTGCCACTCGCAAACCTAAACTATTTCGTTTTTTACTACCCAACGACTGAACTGTCGATAAGATGGCGTCCACCAATCGGATACCTAGATTCTATGACGCAATCCAGTGCCGTGTTGCCCGGTTATCGCTCGATCCCGAAATGTGCCACTTTCTCTTTGCCCGAACAACAAATTTCCTCAATCCAGCTCGGTAATTAATTAGAGTAGCGTTTTCTGCCCATTTCCATCTCAACAAAACCGGGCAAAAAACGAAACGCTGGCCGGTTGCCAAACGCGGAAAAAAATCAACTGTCTATGCCGCAAATCGCGCAGCAACACTGTAAAATTAATCATCAGCCCCCTTAACGGCCCCATTCCCGAATAACAGCAACGATAACGCGGCCCCTTGGCGGGGCTCCCAAGCCTCACAAACTCACCTTTTCGTGCTGCAAACTGCGGGTTCCTTAAATGTACTGTAAAAACTTCTTAATGTAAATGGGCTGTTTCTAAGGGCATTTTCTTTTAAATTAAACAGTAACACAACGCGAAAAGAAACAGGAACAGTTAAAAACGTCAAAACTTTGACAAATAAACAAACTCGACTGTCAGCTCTTTTTAACATCCAAGGCACTCTTCGTAAACGATTTTCACGCAAAACTGCACGTGCAAATAACGCCCGTGGAAAACTGGGCACGGTTTGATATGTAGTTTTCTCCGGTTTTAAATTCCCGCCGTTTTGCAGCAAAAAACGTCCATTCAAGTCAAGGTTAAGTTGTCGCCGTCCTTGTCCACCGCATTGTTTCTATGTTATATCTCAACTGGACGGGTGCGTCAATGGCCATTTCTAGTAAACGGAGGAATGAGTAAAAATTGCAAGAAAATTTCGGAATAGTTTTTAAATTAATTATTAATTACTCCCTAGTGCAGCCAACTTGAGAGCTCCAATGCGCCAATGGCTTCGTGAATTTGAAACCAAAAACAAGTTTTCATGGAATTTAGGTCTCCCAGTGAAAAATGCCCCCAGAGGGCCGCCGAGTCATCTAGGTGATCTGTGTATGTTCTGTGGTCAGTGTCAAGATTGCCACTGGTGAACTTCAGTGTTGTGGTTGTTTATTTTAGTCCTAAAATCGAGCTTTCCTTCGGTTTGGCGCTTTTCCGACTCATTCAAATGCCACCTGCTGCATTTGGCTAATTTTAGCTCATCGTTGTGTCGTGTTTTAAATACCTGTGCTCGATTTTAACGCGAAAATTCCCGCGGAGAGTGCATCTGTTCATCATGGCGCCATTTTAGCCTTTTTGGAAAGTTTGTTTACAGTAAATCTTGGATGTTAACCAGTTGCTTTTACTGATCAATCTAAGGTAGCGCAAACACTTAAGAAAAAAAGCTTGCCAGTCTGCACAGTCTTCAATGCATTTCAGATGGATATTCAGCCGATCAGTCAAGATTCAGGCAATGGGTCTTCGCCGTTAGACTGCACTAATCCAAACATCCTGTATAAGAGTACTCCGAAAATCGAGGCTGAAAGCACCCCTTTTTTGGGTAGTAACAACTTGAAGAAACGCAGGGTAAGTGACTGTTTTGATCGAATTCTTACCTTGAACCACATTTCGTGTTCTAGTTCTCATACTGTGGTGTAATAAGAGGCAGGAATCTTGATGAGCTGCTTGAGATTTGCCCTTCAGCGCCACAAGCCTCGAGCACGTTAAACGAGAGCCTCTCAAAGGAGTTTGAAAGTATCCAAATCGAACAAAGCTACATTAATGTCTGTGATGAACCCTCTCCCAAACTGTTCAAGACCAATAAGTACGTTCAACATTATCAGCCCTCAAACGTAAACTAAATCCGACCGTTTCCAGTTGTGATATATTAGCTTCGCCTGCAGTGGAACCGTGCAATTTGAAAGCCTATGAATGCACCCCGACGAAATCGGGCATCTTCCAGAGATGCTCGTCGGCCTGCAGTGCGCCCTCACCGTTAAAGGAGCAACACGACATCCTCTACCCGACGTTGAAGCCTCTGGATCAGATGAGGAAACATTTAACGCCTCAGAAGTGCAAGGATAAAACCGGGCCCAATTCTATCGCAGTGAAGAAGCGCTTATACGTACCTGAAACTACGACTAGGATATCGTTGATGAAATTATTGCATAATGATGTTGTGATGGACCATGTGTTCAAATACCTATCCAATGGAGATCTTTTTAGGGTCTCCATGGTATCCACAGGGTTTCGCAATGCACTACTTAGCAATTTTATGGCTAGTAACAGGCAAGTCGATTGCACGAAATCCAATCTCCTGGATAGAGTGTACAAGTTTGACTTTTTGTAGGTGTGGCATGTACAAGGAGCTACACAAGAAGAACAAGGAGAATTACAAAATTACCCCGCCTAGTAGCCCTGAGAGCCAGTGCTTGTTTCCCGAAGGATCGGTCAGTCCCAGTCGGATAAATTTTGCTAAGTTTGTTGAAATTGGTAAGCAAAGCAACCAACGTTCTAAATAATTTAGGCCAAAGGACCTAAATAAACTAGTGTCATTTAATATATAATAACTCATTTAATGTAAATTATCAAAWCTACTCGATACTTTTTATCACGATTTCCCCCTAACATTCGGTGTTCCTTTTCTAGGTAGCCTGTTGAATCCGAATCAGTCTCTAATCAAATGCCCCAAATGTGAAAAGCCTTCTGTGGTTGAAAAGTGCATTGCTCAATGCCAGCAAATACACTCTTGTGGATATATTTTCTGCCAGAAATGTAACTGTTTTGCGTACAATCCGGAGGATTTCTATGACAAGTGAGTAGAACATCGATTGAGGCCAACAAACGCTGAATGCGTACCGTTTTTAGATGCCAAAATTTGGCGCTTGGCAACTCAGCAGTGAAGACTCGTCCGCAGCTGGAAGACTTAACAAACTGTTCGCCCGACTTTAGTGTCGGGTCATTAATGAACAGTACCGCTGATAATAACTACTATTCATCAGGTATGGCATCACTGAAGAAGCGTTCAGGTTGCGTATTAATTGGATTATTTTAGGGTACTTTTCTGGGTATGATTCGTCGCACAGTCCCGTCTCAGTGAAGAGAAACTTGAGCGCGTCCTTCGGTAACGACTCTATTAATGGAAAACCACTGAAGGCCTTATTTGAGAGCAACAGGTCGACCAGCAGTTCATCCCTTAGCGTGGCTAAGCGGGAAGATAAGCGAAAGTTGTCCAGATATATCGCGCCAGTCGTCAAATGTGATAATCTGAGAAAACCGATTGAGGTGACTAGTTTTCGTGTCCATTCACTCTTCAGCTTTTAATGTATTCCCTTGGTCATAGATTGCGGAACCTCCCTCTCCGCCAAAAGTGAAGAGTTACTCTGCCTGTACCAGGCAAAACCGCATAAGCCTTAAACGGTTGACTAGATAAGTCGAATTGGTTGCATTTTTATCTGAATCAGCAAATATGGGATCTCAAATTTTTATGCTACTGCCGTAATTTAAATCGTAGGTAAGTAAATGCTTTATGTCATCAAATGGATTTATTGGAATCTTATTTGAGATGCCAGCTTTGTTCGGAGCCTTATAACCATTCCGTATTTTACAATTTTGATTAATTTTTATATGTGAATTAAATGTAACAGATGGTGATGTCCTGTTGGTTTCCCATTAGTACGTTACTATTACTTATTAAGCATATTTGCTTTTATGGTAGGTTGTCCTAGGCCATTGCTACGAAATAGTGTCTCTTTATACGGAAATAATAGGATACTGGTTGGAATCTTTGGATTTACTACTAAAATCTATTTTTGGTCAAGGGATTTTTACAAAATACTTCTTTATTACTGTCGCCACTACCTACAGTTATTGTGCATAATCCAAACTAATCGCCGCAGAACAAATTCTTTTGATATTACAAGGAATTCCTTAATTTAGTAATAACATGCGCCCCCCAGTGATCAATCCAGATGTTACCTATGTTAGTTAAATAGATCTGATTGGACGAATGTTTGAAAGTATGTACTACTTGTATGAAACGTTTCTTTTTATCTGTTTCAAGTCCATTCCTATGTACGTATTCGTTGTATTTTATTAGAATTATGTAACGCATTCCTTAATATAATTATGTTTATTAGAAAATTCCAATAACTTCCCTGTAGTATCTGATTGTCTTCATGAAAAGGCTCTTGATATTTTTGACCTGAAATTAATCAAGCTTCTTCTGTAAAACTCACATTGTCCTCATCCAAATCAACGCCTTCCTCTTTAATTACAATCATGTCCAAATGATTGTTTTCCTGCAAGTCCTGCTCTAGAGTTGTGTCTTCAGACACTGTGTTTTTTCCTTTGGGTTTTCCATGCACCTCCTTTAAATGGCACCTGAAGCGCGATTTTACATTGGTCGAATAGCCGCAAATCGGGCACTTAAAGTTGTGCATTTCGGGCAGATGGGCATTGATCAGGTGAGTTTTTAGTGCATTCCTCGACTTTCCCATGTAAGAGCACTTGTGACATGCGAAAGCCTCCACCTGCAAAAACCAACAACTGATCTGCGACGGTTCCTAGATAAAGACAAACCTCGTCCAGCGTTCGATGAGCTAAAATGTGCCTAGCCAGGTTTCCTTTCTCCGTTGTCTTGTAACGTTCTTCATCTGGGCACATTTCACAGTAGTAGTACGTTTTTGAGTCCTCGTTGGAATGCATGCGTTTAATATGACAACGCAAGTGATCTTGACTGCCAAACAGCTGCGGACATTGCTGGCATTTAACAGTTTTTTCAGAGTGCTTTGTTTGATGCCTCTTCATATGGCCCTTGTTTCTGGTCGTGTATTCGCATTCTGAACAGCTGATCCAAACGCCTTGTTTTAAGTGAATTTGCAATTTGTGCCGTTTGAGACGCTCTAAAACAACACAGTGACAAGAAATGTTTTTATTTATTTGAGCGGGTTTCAAGTCTGTTGGTTCTCATCAGCTGGATTAGTTAACAGATTGGAAACCGTACTGGGCTGGTATAAGCAACATAACTACCTTCCAAAACAGTCACATAGCTACAACTATCGCAATAGAACAGCGAGAGTTCTTCAGTGCTTTTATGTGAAGTCACAGTGTGTCGTTTAACGTTGGCATGATTGTAGCTCTGGTAGTTGCAAAAGGAACATTTGTACTCTGTTTGGTCATTGCGCTCATGCACTTTGATGTGCATTTTGTAGCTGAATGCTTTGATCATTCGCCTGCAGTGCGGACACTCCTTGTCCGGTATGTCATGGTTCTTTACGTGGCTGTTAAAGTAGTACTGCTGTTTGGTTTCAAATGGGCACAAGCTGCACTTCAAGGTACTTGTGCTGCAACAGCGCTCAACGTACTAGTGGGCCATTTGGTTCATCACCCGCTTACCTATGCTCCTTATCAAAGTGGGTTCTTATGCTGATAATGCGGTCTGTTGTATAGGGACAGTTAGCACATTTGTATTGATTGTCTAGCTTAACGCTACAAAGCGAAGCTTGGCTTAGGGGTTTTGGGATTTTTCAAGCACTTACTACTCCGACGATCGATCCGTCTTTTTAGCCTTCGTTTTAGCAGTCCCAGATGTTTGAGAGCTCTTATCGGGCTCCGCTGCGGCTTTCTGCTTGAGCAAATCGGACTGTGTCAATGTAACATTTTGCTTGTTTTTCTTTCGGGGTGGCTTTTTAGCAGTCTTCTTGTTTGGCTGTGATGGTACACTTTTGCTCTTAAACTTAGGTTTCATTTTCCAGTGGATAAATTACAATTCTAGTAAACTGTACACATAACTTATATATTAATTGGGTTTAAAAAATAAAAAAATTGTTAAAAGTGTATGCAAAACAAACAAAACTTTGTCAAACTAATCACAACTAATGGCGGATGTCACTTTGAAATGGGTTATGTGAGGACACCAAATATAATTGGCAACGTTGATGCGGACTTGTTTTAGCAACCGAGCCCTAATTTGCATGTACAAAGGCAAGTTTTATATTTGGAGGACAACAGTCGATAAAACAGCGTTTTTTTGGAACATTTTAATTCAAAAACCAAAAAAGCTCAGCTTATAACATTATAAGGGCGGCAATAAAAAGGTTACATCTAGTATTATTACACCAATATGGGAGACGTCCTATGTATAATCACTACTTGCACACTGTATTGACCAATTTTTTAACCAATAGGTTCGTAAAATGTAGAACAAATTGGCTAAAATAATCATTCAAATAGCCTACTCAGTGCACTCTACTTCAGCTTGTTGAAAAGGTCTGCAGTGACACAGTGATCGACTGCATGCAAAAGGTCGAATAGTTCTTCTACACATGTTTCAGCGGTTTGTTTTCTCGATCGGACCCTATCGTTGCAGGCCTGGTACTTTTCGGCTAGACTCTTGCAATGTGAAGTGTCCATACATTGATCCTAAAAGTACAATTGTCCATGGAAGTGCATACACCCTATAGTTTGAAAAAAACAACTATCCAAAGCCCCTTTGCATCATTAACAGTCCTTAAAAGCGCTTATCAAGTGCAATTCGCAGCGAAATTTAGGAAAAAAAGCGGAAAATCAGCTGAGGTTATGCGAACGTTATTCAATAAATACCCTGAGAACTTGCTGGGGATCGACCAGCTCGCCTTCTTCATCTTCCTCGGCCTTAACGGTGATCAGCTTGGGCAAAAACCGGTCGAAGAACATGGCGAATTAAAGGAGTATTTCTTGAAAATGTATTAAAAAGGGGATTTTACGTAACACAAATATAGAAATTGGAACTTGATGTCTCGTCTATCACTGTCAACATGACAATGGAGGGTGGATAAAGACAATGTGATAGTAGCTCTTTTTCTAGCCTCCATTATCGCCCTATAGATTATCACGTAGCAACCAGCTTTGCTGTTATAAATCAACCATTTAATTCGGAATAAAGAAGGAAAACTCGGGGGCTTCGCCCTATATCACCCGCCCTGCCTTTAACTGCAATTAATAAAATATTCTTTAGTGTCTTTCGACTTTCTAGCGTTGACGACACTGCCATTAGTCCCCCTGAAAGTCATTGTCAATCCCCACCCTATTCGCCATGATAATTTGAGTTATTGTTTTTGGTTGTCAGTTTTGTTAGGTTTTTTTCATTATTTACCTTTTTTTTTCGTTTAACAACACCCATTTATAACTAGTTAAGTTTTATGAGGACCATGCAAATGCCCTTGTTCTGTTCAGTGGGTTTTGAGCATTAGAAATTTTCACAATGTCCACAATGTGCGATGGGGCCGCTTTAATGAGCGACGAAGACGAAACCCTGGTCCTAAACTATCTGGATGATGACCTGGATAAGCCAGAATCACCCTCAGAGCTAGTGGATGAAAACCAAAACACCAGCCTTAATCTTGGGGATGTGGTCAATGGTTTAAAGCCTAGAGGACGGGGGAGGCCGAAGGGCTCCAAAAACAAGGCCAAAGGCCTCAGGGCCAGCAAGACCCGCCAAAGTAACGGACCGAAAGCCTCAGCACCAGCAAAAGATCCTGTAAATGGCACCAATGGACAGAGCAACCCAAATAACATCGTTGATATAGAATTTAAAATTGAAAACTTTGATGATGCTCTTGATGGCCTGGTGGATCGCAGCAGCGGCTTTGGTGCAAGTTTCGAAAACATTGGTGAGTTGCATGATGTGACATAGAGAAGCGTTGAATTTAATTCCAATGTTTCAGTTAAGCGTGAACCAGAGGAGGAAGCGCAGGTTGATTTAAAGTATGAGAGTATGAGTGATGCGGCAGAAGCGATGAATAAGAAGAAGCTGGTGAAGAAAAGCCCTAAGACTAGCCCAAAGAACCATAAACCTTCCAATGGCCAGAGCAGCCTTGATACCTTCTTGAAGGTTGTTGATTTGAAGCCCCAAAGCAAACTGTACGTACATTGATCACTTCAATTTTATGCAAGCCCCTCCTCCAGAGATTTATCTATTTGCTCTAATACGCACTTTTTTCCCAATGCCTAGCATGGACTAATTACTAAAGAAGTGTAAGTAGGTATGCAGCTTTGTAGTAAGAATCCAACTGCTTCCCATTGATAACTAACAGTTGCTTTCTTAGGGGTTTAAGCAACGTGTTTAAGTGCAACCATTGTCTCTACGTGGGGAACAGCAAGGCAAACTTGGAGCGCCACAACTTAATACACATGGATCCCAATGATATTCTCTGGTACAAGTGCAGTGACTGCGACTACAAGTCTAAGTACGAGAGCCAGCTGAAGAGCCACACTCTCATCCATAAAAACCCCGAAGAAATCGAGTACTTCCAATGCCCGCACTGCGAACTGAAGTGTAGCAGGAAGCACAACTTGAGCCACCACATTCGGAGCATCCACGCTGATAGAGTGAACAACCTCAAGTACGTCTCTAGAGTATTTAGATGGGGTTTATTAATTCAGCCGCACGTTCCAGATGTGCAGAGTGCAGTTATTCAACCTTTTCCAAAGATCGCCTAGTGGCTCACGTGAAAATGCATTCGAAGGAAGTGTTTATGTGCACGCTGTGCAAATTCGTCACCAAACGAATCGAGTATCTGGAAAGCCACTTCAAGATGAAGCACACCAATGTGGAAAAACCTTTTCCTTGCGACACTTGTTCTTATAAGGGCAAAACCAAGCGAGAGCTGGACCGGCACTATGACCGAATGCACAACAAAGACACTTTAAAAACATACCAGTAAGTAGGAGCAGACAATTTCTGTCCAATGAAGGTTTCACGTGCAGTGCTTCACAGATGCAGCCAGTGCAGCTTCAATTCAATCTACAAGAAAAACTTGGAGTTTCACCTGCTTCACATGCACCAGAACTCCGAAGGCTTCCAAAAGTTCATCTGCGGCCATTGCGATAAGACTTTCGCCTATAAAAACGGCCTGAAGACGCACATCATTCGAATCCACCTCAAACTAACGGACGAGGACTGGCACAAGTTAGTTCCTTTGCTTTAACATGGTGCGCTTTTTTCTAACTGGAGTTTTAGGTGCTTAGAGTGCAAGTACAAGTGCAAGGATGTCAACACCTTGAAGAGGCACATTAAGAGGAACCATGGGGCCCCCAGGTTGAATTGCCAAAAATGCAGCTTTGCCACCAACAGGAAAAAGTCTATGGTGGCCCACATGAACACTCATGACATTACAACGGCTGGCAGTCCCGTTCTTAAGGTAAATGAATACTTGTGTGAAATTGGAATTATCCAATTGGTTTGGGTGTTTTCAGTGCCCCGATTGCCCCTATCGCATAATCCTCACCGTGTCGTTTCTCTACCACATGAAGACCGTGCATGGGAAGTCAGTCGGGACCAAAGATCTCCCCAAGTACCATCTGATAGAAGACTGAAATCAACATTTTATTTTTACACTTTTTTTTGATATTATCGTGATTGGTATTCGTTCATTTTTGATGCCGAATGGCGTGGATATTAATTGAATTTGCAACTTTTGATACTGTTATGTGAAAGGAACGTGACAAAAACTCATTTTAACTTTTTACTCTTTTTATGAAGAACACTCTGTATAATTTATGACTAGTTACAATCAAGCCTTTATGTATGTTGTCCAATATTGTTAAAGTTTGATTTTGGTTTAAAATTCCGTAGCTTAAAGGCGCTCTTTAGTAACTTTGTCCTTATTGGGAAGTTACGATTAAGGGATTTAAATAGTATTGATAAGGAACAATCATTGTTAAAATCGGGAAATTGTTATCTGTTGGCTTCGKCTGAATTCAGTGCTTCTGTTTTTCTTAATTATGCACTTTTTTCGGAATAAGGCAGGTTTTGTTGCTGGGTTTAACACTGCAACCTGCTAGGACTAAGTGATGGATTAAGTTCTTGTGRCCTAAGAATTAGAAGTTCGTTTTTTTGTAGAAGTAAATATATACAATAGTTAGAATGGACACGTCTGGTAAAACAGCGGGTCTTGCACCTTTATGCTGAGTTCAAATGTATTTGACTTATTTTAGGCGAGCCAAGGAAATCGGGATTTATGATCGGTTCTTGGTTTGCTTGAAACCAATTTAAATTCGATGTTTTGAATTATCCCTTTTTTGCAGAACTGTACAGAAGTAAACGCCAACTATGAGGAATGTGTGTTTTTTGCTCAAACAAATGTTTGCGATCCTTAAACCCCAAAGTTTAAAAAGGGTAAAGCGCTATTTTCTGCACGTTCTGGTTTATATGAATTCCTAATGTTGTGTCGCCACTTTAGATTGTCCTCACATGAGTCCATTCAGCCACAAAATCACTAGAGTGCAGGCTACTTGCTCAATTTTCTGTAAGGCCCATTCGGCAGGATTTCATTTGAGGCAGCATCAAGTGCTTTGGAAATAGTGAACAGATCAACAGGAACGTGGCTGACTAGTTCTTCGTAACAGACAGCCACATTTTGGTCCTCCAGCGTCAAATGGTTGCTCAATGAGGGCCTTCGGGTGTTGATCTCGTTTTGGAAGCTGTTTTCCGTTAGCTTTGAGGTCGCAGAACCTGCTTGAATGGTCAGGAATTAGCAGGAAACTGGGTTTCTGCCGGCTTACCAATGCTGTCTCTTCGGTGTTTGATTTTGTCGAAGCCGGCAAAATCGACGGCCGGAATGCTTTTGGCCAAAGACCAGCTGAGGACATTCTCCATTACAGCATCCCGAGCAGTTTCCCCATTGTCCAAGTCGTTGGGCAGTTCGGTGATTTGCGGCCGTGAAAACCTCTTCTGATTGTACATCCCTGCAACGCGAATCTAGGAAACTGGGGCTTGGCAATCACGCATTGACCACCTTCGAAAATCTCCTCAGTTCTCCTGGTTAGTGGGATAATCACCGTATGCTCTCTGCCTCCCAGACTGCTGGGCTCATAAGCATGGTGCCCAAACTGCTCAATGCTGCTGGTCCCGGCGGTTCCGGTCACCTCCATAATTCCTATTTGGGTGGTTCGCACATGGTACGGGAAGTTTTTGTTAGCAACACTGGGCATGGTGAGGATCTGCAAGGCAAATGGGAGCTTTGATGTGCAGAGTTTTGCGGGAAAAACTCACCAAAAACATCAAATGCCCGCCGAAGGCTATGAACAGCAGCACGGCGTATACGACGGATTCCCGCACCCATTTATCTATGTAGGTGTTAGCTGATAGGATGAAGGCGGGCCCTGCCACGAACCAAATGGTCCCAAAGATGTTGAATGGGTAGTAGAAGTTCGACTGGAACGCAAAGGGCTTTAATAGAACATTCCCTAAAATCTGAAACATGCGTTAAGCTTTCGCACCTTTTCCGGGTAGCGCTTAAGGGTGAAAACGGTGGAGTAAATGAACATTGCCCAGCCGCACAGCCTGAGAGTGATCAGGCTGTACCCTGCGGGCGATTCGTACAGATACAGCACTTCCCCTGGGTCAAACACCTAAAAACCAAGCAATTGAGCGCAGGAGTAAATCCCCTGATGAAGCCCTGCAGCTTACCACAGCCTCATAGACGAAAATCGTCAGGTAAGTCGTCACGTACACGCACATGAAAATGGTCAGTTTCACCGTTCCTTTCAGCGGCAATCGCCCCCGAGTGATGGTAAAACCCTTGGCTAGCAGGAGCAGAAGCAGAAGGTAGCAAGTCTCGGAAGCCCCCAGCAGCATGTTGCCTGAAAGGCGTTGATTGGTTGGAGGGAATTGTTGGTCTATTCTGTTCTTACCCACTCGCTTGGTTTTTGGCGACTCGCGTCCACTCACAGCCATTTTCAGATAAACGATGCTCATGAGGAGAATGCCCAAAAGCTGCAGCACGCAGGATAGCACGAATATTTTGTAAGTCGTGTGAAGAAGCTGGCGTTGCTTCAGCTCCAAGGAGCACACAGTGATGCCCAACATCAGGAAAGAGTAGGCAATGGAAAAGCCCATCAGAATGGGCAGAACATCTGCAACATTTCCACGTAGAATTCATAGAATATCGGCGCTTCCAGGCCACATACAGAACTCATCAGCTGAGAAATGCTCACGCCAATAATCGCCTGGGGGGCCGTTGGTCATGAGCAATTGATAGTTTAAGTCGATGCCCTACAAAAGGGAAACATCAAGTTTTTCACTTGGAACAACTGAGCTGCGGGGAGCGTACTTTAGTGGCTTTGCAGTTGCTCACAGCTATGAACCACCATCTTTCGCGGGCGCTTCGGAAGCGCCGCGCGTTGTGGCAGTTGATGAATCTTCCGGACTTTTTCGGACGCATTTTTGGCGCTTTTGTCGGCACGGAACGTTTCTTTATGGGCGACTTTCGCATTGTTGCCTGAGGTTCCTGAAAATTGACCACAGAGCGTTTTTCATGCAAGGAAATTAACTTTCTAGTAGAGTCTTGTGTAAAATGCGCCAGCAGCAAAACGAAATGTTTCTATAACTATAATTTAAAGAACTCCCGGAAGTTTCCAGGTCCTTCAGCTTGCAATGAGCGAACTTTTGTGAACTCACCCTAGTAGTTTCCCGTGCATTTTCCAAAAGCAATTCTGGGCCATTAGTTGAAGCTTCCACCTCCACTGGTGTGCTGGCTTCAAAGACTTCTTGCGAAGAAGTAAAGGAACTTTCAGTAGAAAACGCCCATGTGCTCATCTGGTCCACTTCCGCAGTAGTGCCAAAAGACTCAGCTTCCAAACTGAAAGCGGTTTGGGTTGACACTAGAATTGTGGTAGTAGTAGGCGTGGTTGAACTGGTTTTTATTGCGACTGTTCCTAAAAAACAACTTTTTAAAATCTTCACCCGGTCAGGACAAAGTGGCGGATGCGCCCGCACAGAAACGCGAGTTTTATACCTTTGCTGGTACCATTGCGCCTTTTGGGCGTTGGAATATTGATGGTATAAAGGGGTGTTGGGGTGGTGAAGCTTTGCACCCCAAATGTACAGCCAGCAAACTGTCGCGCTGCTTCTCCCCTTACAGTCATGTTAACTAACTGGTTCTGTTGCACGTTTAAGACAGCCTCTCGTTCCTCACACGTCTGCAAAGATTATTTGGAACCGATGGAAATTAAGTTGTTTAAAGGAATTATCCGTTCATGTCCACCTTGGCTGATTTGTAAACAGCAGGCCATTGATCGTCTGTGTCGTAGTAGAGAAGCAAGTTGATTTCGCCCTGGTTTTCGTTGTAGTCGATCACATACTCAAACTGGCCTTCTTCGGAAAGGAAGCAGAACCGTGCCAGAAAAGCCCAATTCTGAAACAGTTTTTTGTGTGTGCAGTGTTGATGCTGCAGTGTTTATTTACCTGGTTTGTTTTCAGGGTGCCTTCCACGTATTTGCAGCTACAGAAGCGATTGGAGAAACCCACAATGACGCTTTCCCAGTAAAGAAGGGTGAACAATAAGCGCATTTTTGAATAAATCGAAATTTGGCCGGAAAGTGCATAAATTGTATAGTTTCTTTAAATGCTCACGCTTAATAGGGGGCCTGAAGAAAATCGATTCTTCCATGGAAACTGGAAGCTTCCCAGCACAAACATCTAGCTAGTATAGTCTATACAAACAACTGAACTTTTTCAAATTATTATTCACCCCAAAACTGGGAAGTTTTATTCAGGTGCAACTTGCGATTTCGCCCAAAAGGGGTGGAAATAAAAATGCCCCTTTTGGCGCATTCAAATGGCGGGCGCATTTTAAATTCCCCGAGTTACCCGCCATGTGCAGGCAAAAAAGTTAGTTGCAATTCGTCCTGTATAGATAGCAGGCGTGTGCACTCCTATTCAATACATCAGCTGAAACTAGGAAACTTTCCTATCAGCTGTCAATCAAGTATCTATTTTGGGTGGGGTTATCCGTTTTTTTCCTGATATTTCGCCTTTATTTTCCATGCAAATAACTGCCGATCTAAATTCGATCTCGAGCCCCAAGTCGACGGGATTCGAAACGGAAAAAATGCTGTTGCTTTTCAACAGAACGCTCCTATCGAGAGAAACGTCAGATTTAAGGTTAGAAATTTAGGTGACAGTTTCTTGAAGATCTACCTCCTAGTGCTGCCCAAGTGTTTTTGCTGTTCAACGCTCGAAAACCGATGTTAATATTGTGCTACTGAGTTTTTCCGAATCTCGATCAGTTTCCCAACCAGTCTGGCTGGAGAACTATGTGAAAGTGGGGACGTTTCACTGCCAGATTATCCTGTGAAAGTGATGGTGTAATTTTCATTGGACGCCATTTTGATTTGCAGCGAATATTTTGTAAGTTTTTCCTGTTTCTTTGCGATCCTGTTTCGTATACAACGATTCGCTGATTGTTAATGTGTGAGAGCAGCCAGTTGCATTCGTCATCGGTGCCCCCAATTCGCCGGAAATTTCCTTGCAAAAGTAGGCCCATTGGGGGCATTTAACCAAACAGTCATCCCCAATGCATTTTAGCAATAATTTAGTCATTTTATTGCCAAATGATCGGGTTTTCTCAATGATTAGTCAAGTTTTTCATTGCCCCCACCTGTGACTAATTGATTAATTACTTTCTCAATGTGAAACGCACTTTTTTTTGTTTATTAATTGTCCTTACTCAGTTTTAAGTAGGTATCACTCCTTTGCGTATTAGCGATTGACTGATAAGTGAAAAATTCAGTTCAATGTGCTGCAGGTGAATTCCGAAGCGTTTGCTTGGCAGGCTGGTTTTTCAAACTTCTGGATTCAATGAACCTGAAATGCTTCCAAAACATACCATTTGATTGACTCACATCAATTAGGAATTTATGGCCAATTGTTCCTTTCTTGATTGCATTAATTCCTTCACTTTAAGCATAAACCTTCCTTCATTTGCTGCGGTTCAACTCACAAAGCCACATTAATTGTTTATTTTTATCGTGTGTTTGTTGATTTCCTTCATTTATATTCAACGAACCCTTTTTTGCTTGTTAAAGCAGTGCTTTTTTCAAAAACTGTCTTATGTTTTCTTTATTAATATCTTTTTCTGACTGTTTTCCTGGGTTTTCAGTAGAACGAATCAAAATTGCACAGAACATACAGGGCGCCCCAACTTCATCAGCATTTTCCACTGTCTCTCAGGAACTTTTAAAGATAGACAGACAATTGAACTTTCCACACATTATCCCAGTACTTTTCGCTCCTTCAGGAGCGTCAAGTTGCATTTTCACTATTATTATAATTTATTTTGGGGACTATTTTGCCCCGACTTCTGAGCCACTGGAGAAAATCGCAACCTGAGTGGCTTGAAAGGCCATTGTTTTCTATGCAAGGGTACTCTTGGTTATAAGCTCTGGTGTTAGTCGTTTTCGAGAAAAATTGCACTTTCTGACGGAAAACTTGCTTAAAATTGCGAGGACTTAAAAAACCCGAGCATCAAAGCGAAACTTGAAAATTGAAGAACCAGCTTTCGTCTTTCGAGCGCAAAAAGTTAACAGATGTTCCGGTTTGGGAGTAATCATTTTTACGCAGCCCATGCAGATCGTGTATTGCAACCGCTCTCAATGGAAATTGCCCAACTTTGAAAAATTCTGGAAAAATCCCTGATAACGCCATTAAAACGAAACTTGCACGGGGCAAAGAATCGACTTTCCTCTATCCAACGCAATAATCGCGGGATACGCGAACTTTGAAAATTTCCTAAAAAATTCCTCATAATCCCATCAAAGCAAAACTTGCTGACACCAACGAATAGACTTTCATCTTCAAGTTTCTGAGTTTTCCGGCTGAGGCGTAATCAATTCTTTGGTCAACCACTGCAAGGGCCCTGCAAGGAAATTGGCATCAAATTTCCAAAAAAATCCCTGACCAAGGCGAATGATGTGGAATTCTGCGCCTTTCAGCAATTTTCACTCCTTTGATGAAGAGCTTATAGAAGATAATTTTGTTTTGCAGATAATGACTCCCCATTAGCCGCCCAATTGAAACGAGAATGGCGCCGGTGCCCCGGCCAGGCAGCCTGCGAGATCCGGACATAGCCGAGCTGTTCTTCAAGCATGATCCCGAGAAGATCTTCGAAGATCTTCGCGAGATCGGCCATGGCAGCTTCGGAGCCGTAAGTCCACATCCAGACCGGCCAATACACCGTACTAAGTCGACTTTTAGGTGTACTATGCCAGATGCCTCATTTCCAAGGAAATTGTCGCCATCAAGAAGATGTCCTTCAATGGCAAACAAAGCCTGGAAAAGTGGCAGGATATCCTCAAGGAAATCAGGTGGGTTTTACCGCTTTACTGCCATGTTGGGCCGTTTCCGACCGTGTTCTTTGGCAGGTTTCTCAAGCAGCTGAAGCACCCCAACACGATTGAGTACAAAGGCTGCTACCTCAAAGACAACACTGCCTGGCTCGTAATGGAGTATTGCCTGGGAAGCGCTTCCGATATCATTGAGGTTCACAAGAGACCGTTGAGGGAGGATGAAATATCGGCGATATGCGACGGTGTTCTCAGAGGCTTGAGTTATCTGCATGAATTTGGGCGAATTCATAGGTAACAAACAGTCAATTATGCGAACCACTTCTCAACTATTGTGAAGCGCACTCTTAACGAATGCTGCAAACTTTCAGGGACGTGAAGGCAGGCAATATACTGTTAACGGAAAACGGGACAGTAAAACTGGCGGACTTTGGCAGCGCTTCCATTAAATGCCCCGCCAATTCGTTTGTGGGCACCCCATACTGGATGGCACCGGAGGTACGGTTCCATTCACCTTCCTTCTATGCACTTTCCTTGATGTTGCATTGCGATTCTAGGTGATTCTGGCTATGGACGAAGGTCAGTACGATGGTAAGGTGGACGTCTGGTCTTTGGGCATCACTTGCATCGAATTGGCTGAGCGCAAACCGCCCTACTTTAACATGAACGCCATGTCAGCGCTCTACCATATCGCGCAAAACGATTCGCCCACCTTGTCCGCTAACGAGTGGACCGATGTCTTCAAACATTTCGTCGAAGCGTGCTTGCAGGTGATTTTTTCGCTCTCATTCGACCGTTTACCTGTGGGGAAAGGGTCGAAACGTACACGGTGTTTAGACACTATAAGGGGGTTTCATCCAGTCCCCAACCCGCCATCGGCCAGGCGTTATTAGGCCGAAAAATCCAATTTGAATGGTCAGGAACGGGTTTTCCAACGCAAGAATTTGCAAATTGTCTGTTGCAAGCGCTCTTGGCAAACATTGTCCAACTTTGAAAAATTTGAAAAAATCCCATCAGAGCGAAACTTGCAACCATCGAAGAACCAACTTTCCCCTTTCCAGCGCCAAAGTCCCTAAGTTTCCAGGTCTTGCGGTTTGGGCGTAATTCATTTTTTACGAGCCGTTGCAAGCTCTCTTGACCAAAATGGCTCAACTTTGAAAATGCCTAAAAAAGTCCCTGATGACGCCATCAGAGCGAAACTTGCAGCCATCGAAGACCCACTTTCTTCTTTCCAGCGCAAAAGTGCCGAAGTTTCCAAGCCTTCCGCTCCTTAAGCCTGATCAAAATTGCTCCACTTTGAAAGTCCCTGATCAAAGCGAAACTGTCCTGGAAGATGCACGTTTGCAAAATCATGTTTTTCTATGCAGAAATCGCCCCATCTTCGGCCGAGCTCGCAACAGTTGCTCTCTCACATCTTTGTGACCAGACAAAGATCGCCCAACGTGCTGATCGACTTGATTCAGCGCACCAAAGCGGCAGTGCGCGATCTCGACAACTTGAACTACCGGAAAATGAAGAAAATCCTGATGGTGGACAATTGCGAGACCGAGAGCAACATCGATTCGCTGCCCGATGTGGATGATGCGCCTGAAGAACCGACTGGCGGCGACAGTTCGAAGAGCAACTCGGTCACTTCCGAACATTCGGTTCATTCAGTGGGCGTGTCCGCCAGTAGCCAATCCAGCAGCACGAACAGCTTGCCTGCAGGTACAATTTCTCTGTCAATCCTCGGGTTTTTGGCTAAATAAAAACGCCAGCTGTTTTTACAGGTGGTGAGGATGGCACGACACGAAGACAACGGCCGATTCACCATGCGGCCGCTATGGCTTTGAGCGAGCATGCGAGCGGCAACAATTTCGCCACTATTCGCACCACAAGCATAGTCACCAAGCAGCAGAAGGAGCACATGCAGGAGGAAATGCACGAGCAAATGTCCGGCTACAAGAGAATGCGGCGCGAGCATCAAAGCGCGTTGATGAAACTGGAGGACAAGTGCCGGATGGAGATGGAAAGCCACAAGAACCAACTGGACAAAGAGTACGAGGCTCTTTTGGCGAACTTCAGCAAAGAACTAGAGAAGCTGCAAACGCGGTAAAACTGGGCGCAACACGGTTGTTTTCACGCTTTGTAACTGCCGTTGTTCGACAGACATCAGCAGGAGCTCGAACGCAAGACCAAGCAGAGCGCGGCTTTGGAGAAGAAACTCATAAAGGAAATCACCAGCAGGCAGGACAGCGATCGAAAAGCGTTCGAGGCCCATAGGAAAAAAGAATACAAAGCTAACAAGGAACGGTGGAAACGGGAACTTTCGCAGGACGATTCCACGCCCAAGCGGCAACGAGACGCTACATTGCAGTGAGTATAAAGCAGGGCAGAAAAGCTCAACTTTGAAAAATTCTGAAAAAATCCCCGATGATGCCAGCTAAGCGAAACTTTCACCATGCAAAGAGTCAACTTTCTTCTATACAAAGCAATTTTTCGGGTATTTATAGCTTTTCCGGTTTGGACTTTTTGGCACCAAAAGCACTCAACTTTGAAAATTTCTTAGCGAAACTTTTACGGGACAAAGAGCCAAGTTTCCTCTATCCAACGCAATGATCTGGGAATTTGAAGCTTTTCCTGTTTGGATGCAATGGATTTTATACGCAGCCATGGCAAAGCGCTCTTAGCAGAAGCTACTAAACTTTGAAAATTTCTACGATTCCATCAAACTGAAACTTTTAGTGGTCAAATAATCGACTCTCCTTAAAATTGCTTAACATTTAACCGATAAACAGCCCATACAAAAGTCCCATTTTCAGGACTCAGAAGGATAATCTAAAGCAGGTAGACGCCCAGGAGGAGCAGCGATTAATCAGGGGACAACGGGAAGAACTAGACCTAGAATTAAGGAAGTTTAGAAGAAAACGACTGATGGGCTACCACCAGTTAGAGCAAGTAAGCCGTATTCTACTCGAGCTAATTAATCTTAGTAAGAAAACGTTCCGCAAATCTTAGAAGCTGCTGCGACACGAGCTTTATAAGCGCCAACAGCAGCTGGAACAGGCGCACTCAATGCTGTTGCGACACCACGAAAAAACCCAAGAACTGGAGTATCGGCAACAGAAAGCCGTGCACGCACTGCGCGAAGAACAGGTGAAGAACCAGCACGACACTGAGCTGGCCAATCAGGCCGAGTACATGAAGCGCACTGAGCGCGAGATGCGCAAGAAGCACGCCCTCGAACTGAAGCAACAGCCGAAGTCGCTGAAGCAGAAGGAAATGATGGTGCGCAAACAGTTCCGGGAGACCTGCAAGGTCCAGACCAGACAGTACAAGGCGCTGAAGGCGCAAATTCTGCTCAGCACACCGAAGGAACAGCAGAAAACCGTCATCAAGAAACTGAAAGAGGAACAGAGAAGAAAATTGGCGCTCCTCGGCGACCAATACGAGCAAAGCATCGCCGAAATGCTTCAAAAACAGTGCATCAAGTTGGACGAAAGCCAAGAGGTAAGTAGGCGTTTTTCGCAACGCAAAGACTGTTAATTGGCTGCGTCGCAGCTCCAATGCCAGCAAATGAAGGAGCGGCTGCAGTACGAGCTGGAGATCCTGATAGCATATCAAAGCAAGAACAAAATGCAGGCTCAGGCGCAACGGGAGCGCGAGAAGAACGAGCTGCAGGATCGCGTCGATATCCGGAAGAAACTGCTAGAGAAGAAGGTACTTGCAGTGAGGTTTTGGTGGGCGAGGCTTGATCGCAATCGTTTTGCAGATGCTGGATGAGAACCGGAGGTTCATTGAGGAACGAGGGGAGCGCATCAGGTACCTTCACGAGAAGCAGGAGAAGGAACTGGAGGACTTTGATGAGGAATCTGTCAGGCAGGGCTTCAGGTGATTATCCACTTATCCACGGTTAACCGGACTAATGATCTTTTTCAATAAATGATTGTTGTTGCAGTGCATTGGCCATTGCCGAAATGTCTCTGGCTTTAGGCGACATGTCCCGAGACGATTTCGACGGAGAATGCAGTCTATCCGGTTCAATGCTTAGTTTGGCGCATTCGAATAGTTCTACCAGTTTTCCCCCGAATTCCGTTTAGTAGTAAGCTTTACAATTTTGCTTTCCCCTGCCTTTAGGTAATTCGAAGCGGAGAACTGGCCTTACTTCCATCCGGGCTTCTTTGTTGCCTCCACCGGTTTCGGCAGTGTTCACAGCTCTCCTAAGCTTTTAAACAATGTGGAAGCGAAGCACACTGCCATTTCCGACTGGGGCATCTGCAGAACGTTTAACGACTTAATGGGTGATTGTACAAAATTAGTAAAAAGTTGATCAACTGATTAGTAACTTTGTATACAGCTTGATGGTTGAGAGATGCAAGTGTATCAAAGGTGCGAACACTATTAAGCGAGTGTTTCGCGCTTGTGGTACCCACGGTATAGGAGGACAATGTCTGCGATAGCATCCCTGTGTACATAGATGAAATTAGTTTAAACTACTACTACTCTCATCAAACGTAACGTAATTGTAAATGTTTTAACAGTGAAACTGCTCTTGATTGGCCCCCAGTGGAACTGTGGGATGTTCGGGCAATTTCACTGTTAGGACAGTATTATTTACCATGTAAAGTAGATCCTTAATTACAACTTATCTATATTTATAGTTTCTCACAGAAATGTTTGGTCGTAAATAGTGGTTTAATCTTTGATTTTCCGGCAACCCTCAAATGTTTTACCAGTTAATTGGCGTAGCTGTCTTTTTTTATGCAGTTTGTGAGGACGTCTTTGGGTGGCGCTTGGAGTGCGATTCCATTCCACGTGCCACTCAAAAACTGAAGCGTTTGCGCGCCATGAGGTGGCATTTTATATCGTACTAGTTAATACGTTCTAAATTAAGTTACTCAAATAGTAAAGTAACTAAAAAAAGACTAACTATACCAAAAAAAAACACGTTGGTATATACGCTTAATATTAATCAAATATGAAATCTCCTTAACAAGCTTCTCAAGTATGACAAAAAACCAATTACTACGTAAAAATACGCTTCTTTTTATAACAGTTTTATTGTCCGATTCGACTAAATCGAATCAAAAAATCAAACCAAATCGGGTTTTAATTGATTGTTTCCAAGCATATCGCAACCAAATCAGCCAAGAGATTTTAGCGGCCCACATTTAGCGAATAAGTTTTAAAAATTGGAAAATCTATTTTCCGTTCGCAATTCTTTTTACTTTAATATGTTTTGTAGATATTGTTGATTTTGTCTGTTTTAGCGGCAGCAAATGTGTACATATGCGTTTTGTTCCTCTTATACAGAGTGTTGATGTGAGACTGGAATGTGCAATTCGGTCCGATGTACGACTTTTCAATCAGCTTGAATTGAATGTTTGATGAATTTTTAGGTAAATGCTCAAAATTTGGTCGATATGTAGAGGGAACCTTTGCTGTAAATGGTGTTCAACGTTTTAGAAAATCTTCCGTTAGTTTAGTTCTTTGTTAGCAGTATTGTTAGCTGGATGTTGGAAATAATTAAGGGCTTTTTACCGGTTTAAAAAAACATTCCCCAAAAATGCAATCTGCTTGATTTCCGAGGAAAATCCGTTAAAAATACTGGAATAATACTGACTATTGCAGGTTTTTTCTAATTTAATTTAGCCGAGAGAGGAATAGTGCGGTTTTACTTCGCTTGCAATCTGTCCTTTTTTTGTTAAAAATCTAACAAAATTTATTGATTTAGTGTAATAACGAATAAAATACTTATGACATTATATTATTGAAGATTTAGTCAATAAACTGTACATAATTTGTTAAAAAAGCTACTATTCGTGTCAAATTTATTCATATTATATTAGTGTAATTTTTTAACTTAAATTATATAGTCAGCTCGTAAAACAAACAAAACTGTTTAATTGCATTTATTTACCCATTTATTCCAGGCCAATTGCCTGTTCATACTGCTCGTCTGTGATTTTCTTTTTTTTGAATTTCTTCAGCAAGGCTATGTCCTTTTTCAGCTCCTCCAAGTCCTCTTCAGTTATCCCACCTAAGGACAGGTTTTAGACTGGAACGTTATCAAGCCCTTGAGTGGTTGGTTGTCTTACCTTTGCGCTTTTTGCCTTTGCCAGCATTCTTCGCGGCCTCCTTCGCCTGCTTCCTTTTCGATCGCTTCTCCTTTCGCGTCTCTTTGTTCTGCTTGGCAATTGACCACGCCTCAGTGTCCTTTTTTATGTGCTTCGTCTTCTTACCGGGCCAAACACCTAGAAGTATTGTTGCAGCACCGCCCAGTTAAGCTGACGCAACTCACGACATACCAGTGCTTTGAAACTCCCCCAATTTCTTCTTCCGCATGGCCTCTCTTTGCTTGTCCTTGTAGGGAATTGTGTTGGCATCCAGGTCTTCAACCACGGGAAAGTCTGAGAGATCTCTGTGCTTCAGTTCGGGCATTTTAGGCAGCTGTAGCAGTCCGTAGGTGGCCGCTAGAGCCCCAAGGGGAAGCTCCTTTACTCTGAGCAGCAACGAGCACTCGTGCTTAGAATAAGCTCGGACATGCGATACAAATGCTCTGGTTGCCAGCTCCATTAAGGCGCGGTCCTTCTTCAAGAGGCTTCGAATTTTCTCCCTTAGCACGTCGATCTGAAAGCCACCACACTAAAGAAAAGGGGGCTTCAAAAATTTCAGTTCTTACGCAGTCTTTTTCTGCCATATCTTCAACTGGAATCAGCTTTACTCTTTGGTTGGTTTCAATGAAATTCACATAAGACTCTTCGTTTTCCAGCAGCACAATCAAGGCGCTGCCCATGTGGCCCTGTCGTGCAGTTCTTCCGACACGATGCACGAAAGCGGCAGCATTAGCAGGCGGGTCCCATTGAAGCACCCACTCAACCTAGAAGAACTGTAGTTGAGAGACTAATTGAAGGATTGCATCAGTGTTAATCTACCTCTGGAACATCGATTCCTCTAGCCATTACATCTGTGCACAGCAGCAAGGCCTTTTCGCTGTCTCTAAAGGTGTCCAGGACCTTTTTGCGCTTCTCCTTCAACTTGCCGTGGATCGCCAACACTGGTAGCTCGAGCTCCTTTGGGAGCACATGCGAGAATATCTTCGACCAGTAATCCACGCAGGCACAAGTTGGCAAGAATAGCATGGCCTTTTGAATGTGCTTTTGCTGAAGAAAGGTCAACAAAGAGGCGAGTTTGCCTGAAATATTGTCGATAAAAAAACCGATTCACTGAGAGGAGTGAGTAGACAATTACCGTCATTCTTTGCTAGGATGTAGAAGTTCTCCAGCATGTCTGGAGTGCTTTGCTTCGCCTTGGCCGATACGCTGATGAGCACTGGGTTCCTGAGGCCTGCCCTAATCAAATCTTGCACCTGAAAGCATCCATAAGTTACCCATTGCAGTTCAGTGAGTTGATTACAACTACTTCTTTGGTTTGCGTAGCTGAGAAAAGTCCAGTTCTCCTCTGCCTGGGCAGGTAGCTGAGGATCGTGTCAATGGTTTTCTGGAACCCCAAATCCAGCAGTCGGTCCGCTTCATCCAAAACCAGCACTTCCTAAACAGGGGTTTGTTAATCAGTTTGATTTCCTGTAGTTGCACGGTTGCTTACCAGTTTTTTCACGGCGTTTGGCAGGTTAATGTCCAGTCGTCGCGTTAACAAGTCCTCCAAGCGACCGGGAGTGCAGATTACTACATTGCCCCCATGCTCTTTGAAGTTATGCACATCGTCGTCCACACTGTTGCCTCCCACAAACAGAATTGGCTTTAAATTCTGGAAACTACTTGTTGAAAACCACAATTTGCTGGACCCACACTATTGCTTACTGTTATACTGCACAGCAGCTGATCGAGCACCTCTTTGATCTGAAGCGCCAGCTCTCTAGTGGGCGAAATCACTAGGGCCCCAATTTGGTGCTTTTGCCAAGGCCCATCCGTTTCCCTGGCCTTCAGAATGTCCAGAATGGGGATTAGGAAGGCCAGAGTCTTTCCGGAGCCTAAATATTAATTATAAACAAAGTTGTTTCAGTAGAAAACAGCAGTCACCTGTTACAGCTTCAGCTGCCACATCTTTTTTGTTTAGCATTTGGGGAATGGTTGCAGCCTGTACCGGAGTCATGAATGGGAAATTTAGGCTCTGGATGGCATTCCGCAATTCCGGGTGTATGGAAACACCCAGAGTTTCCCATTTTTTGGGCATGTTTCGCCTTTAAAAATCTACTGTGAAACTCGTCGAGATCTGTGGGTTATGTTCATAGGTGGAAAAGTGAGGTTGGAGACTAACCTACAGGATGAGCCTGAAGTTGAAAGCAGGGCAATCATTTTGAAAAAGAGATAGCAGTACTTCAAACGGATACTTATGAAAAAGGCTAAAAAGTTAAATAGAAATATTGTACACATTCAATAAAAAATTGTATTGCTTAAAGTAATTTTTACAACCTTTGCAGGACTAAAACTATTTACATATTTGAGCGATTCACAAAACGAATCATTTAAATTGTCTTCATACAACGCCGACCTGTGAAAATGTTGAATTTATTTAAGTGAATGACTATAAAACTTCTTCAATAAAAAATGCATTTACTGTCTTCAAACAAAAAATCAAATAAACCATTCACTTCCACAAGTGTCGACTAATGAAAAAATACGTTGAATATTCCTAGCTAGTGATTGCAGTGATCAACTGAGATGAGACCTAAAATTACCTACTTGAATAAATACAATTTCCCCTGCTAATGGAACGGTTTCAGTTTTATCGTCTAATCACCAACATGGAGAACACAGTTAATGAAAATCAATTCAATAATGCGGCCAGCGCATCAAAGAATCTCGTCCTATCTTCGGTGCGAAGCTCTATATCTAAAATATTTTTTTATTATAAAACTGGGTAAAATCTACGCAAAAATACTCACATGATGTATCTAAGTAATCACAGTTTACTTCACATTTCATTTTGTCGGCCGCTTGCTCAAACGCTTTCCCAAAAAAACTGAAATAACAAGTAAAACACGAGTTTAAATGGTTTTGTCGCAAATTCAAACGCGCAAATACCCACTTTCGAGGCGAATTTTCGCAAACCGGAGGAATCCCTAACAGCAAACACGTTCCGCGCTCTAAATCTTTAGGCGCCGACACTATAAGGGGCAGTGTTGAAGCTTTCCTATTCCTGGACATCGACACGTAAGCCTTTAAGATGAATTGAGCCAATAGAGCCAGTATATGCAGATGGGAGAACATGTACCAGTCCAGACAGCCCTAAAAAGTAAATTTGCTTATCAATGTAAATTCAAACGGTTGGTTTTTCGGGCTCCTTTTGCTCAGTAGAATCCACTGGAAGAAGACGACTCGAAAGGATGGGGAAGCAAAATACACTTTTTGCGGCAATGCACTCGCAATATTAAAAAATTTCTAAAAAAATCCCCAATGATTCGATAAAAACGAAACCTCCACGGTTCAAAGAGCCAACTTTTCTCCACCCAACGCAAGAATTCGAGGCTTTATGGCTTCGCCGGTTGAACCAATGAGAAAATCTCGGAGCTCCCATGGCGCGGCAAAAATGTGAACTTTCTCCAAAAAGAAAGGTTGATAAATACCTCTCGTATAATATAGTAGACAAATGGCCCTGCTGTGATAATCTGCTTCATGTCCACCGCACTCTGAACAGTCTTGAACAGCGTCTTGGCTATGTTTTTGGCGCGTTCCATTGCATTGTTCATCACTTCGACTTTCGACCGCGACAGACAGTCCAACGCCTGATTGAACAGCTCTTCCGGCTTCTTATCTCTAGGCTGTAAGAAAATGACATAATAATTGGCTCCGGAACACCTGCACGCACTTACTGACGCTTCCAAAATCGCCAAAAGCGCATACACTATATCGGAGGCGCAAAACTTATTCCTGAAACCATACTGCAGGATGAACGACGCAAACTCTATATCCTGCAGGTTGTATTTTTCGGCCAACTTCTCCACGGAGCCATGGAATTCTTTCCTCAACTGCAAGTCCATTGACTTGAAGTGTTGTCTGCTCTGCACCAGTGGTAGGCTGGAAAATCGTTGGCATTTAACATGGAAAAGCTTTCAAAGGCCTGGTTAAATACCCCATGTCTGCTAGGAGCTGATGTATTTTCATATCGCCCTTCAGTGTCCAAAGCTTTAAGCGCACAGCAGTGAACATTGAATATTTTAAACTATGCTCCACTGTCCAATGCCTGTAGAGGGCTAACTTTAAGTCTTTTTCAAATACGATTTTCAGTGATGTCTGCACGTCGGTGTCGCTTGTTTTGTTTTGCAGCCGTTTGCAGTGGGCCCTGAGACTTTCTGCAATAACAACACATTAGTCTAAGGGATTCGCTGGACTAGCATAGAACTAGACCTATTTCCAGAGTGTATTGGGTGTTGTCAATTTTCCCTGATAGCATTTGCTCTGTTAGGGCCACGATGGCTAGCCAGAGCAGCTCCTTGTCGTCCTTGTTCAATTTCCACGCGAAATCAAACATGAATATGGCACTCTGAAGAATAAAAGTGGTTCTAAACCCTGCTTACTAAAGAGAGTTTGCGTTCGCATTTACTTACAGCCTTTGAATAGTAGGTGAACTGAGAGTATTCGAATAGTAATCTGTTTTTGTTCTCCTCCCACAGTCTTTTCTCTCGTCGCTTCATTATTTGCTCTTCGCCTAGCCTTCTCCTTTTCGCCGCTCGGTTGCCTCCATCACTATCTTCTGATTCTTCATTTGAGGCTTCAGAGTCAGACTGGAAGTCCCACAAGAAAAAAAAAATTAAATTGATTTTCAGGCCGTCGTCGGACGGTTAGCATCATCAGCTCGATAGAAAGCGCGAAAATTGCATTCAAAAACTGTCGAAAAACGAAAAAAAAAATTTTTATGTGTGCTACCGAAACGTCCGGACCAAATTACTTCCTCAAAACTTGCAATTTGCATCTCAGCATTAGATAACAACAAGTACTTACCTCATCGCGAAAAATATGATCAAATTCAGGTACAAGTGCTTCCTCTTCAGGCCCACTCAACAGCCTGACCTGTTCAGTGGAGTAAATATTACATAAATCTATCGGCCGGTGGCTGTCCAGTATAAAAAACGTGATATTATCATCAGCCTCCAATTCCTCTGCAATATCTATGGTGCCCCCGCAGTTGATTAACACAAAGTACTTCACATCCTCGCTGTTCTCGATGTAGGCCTGTTTTATCTCCGCTCTGCCCCGGACAATTGCCAGAGTGTACAGGATGTTGCGATATTTCAGCAACGACTGGAGAATCTTGCAGGCACAGATACCATCAATATCATAGTGCACAATCAGAAATATTCTCTAAAACACACCGAATTCGTAAGTTTCTGACTAGGCCAGGTCAAGTCAGCGAACCCATCAATTAATTAACACCTTGATATGCCTGGGGATTGACGTGAGCGGCAAACGAGCACTTTTAAAGCCAAATAACAATACAATAAGAAACATAAACAAGAGTTTGAACCCCTGGAGGTTAGACTTGATTTAACCTTGCAAATGTGCCAGATAGCAACTGGGCTGCTGGTACTCACTTTTCCAGCCAAGAACTCGTAAAACTCCTTCTTCAGATCGAGCACATACATGATAAAGTGTAAAAAAAGCTACATAAACATTACAATTTCCTTTCACCTGACCGCCAAAACCGTTTAAAGTGTGCAGCTGTTTTCAGACATCATTTTTGACTGTTTCTGACTTAGCTACTGTTGCCAACATTCGCAAACATTTTTAGGGAATTTATCACTTGTTTCGCATCACTTGACCTTGTGCAAGCCCACGCAAAGATGAAGAAGAAGAAGACCTAGTCCAAAAGGCACATGGGATATTTGAGGTTGGACCAGCGGCAAATGTTTACAAAACAGCCAGAATTTGCTAAAATTCTCCTGCTAGCCCGAAAAAATGTCGCGTCCAGAGCATATCGCTCCTCCGGAAATTGTAAGTAATTCTTGCACAGGCGGGCTATGGTTTAAAAAAACTTGACTCAATTACAGTTCTACAACGAGGATGAGGCCAAGAAATACACGCAAAAGTAAGTAGGGCTTGGCCCGTAGGCCTGAAAAGTCAGCTAACCCTTGCCCTTGTGCGTTTCAGTTCTAGAATCATGGAAATTCAAGAGCAGATGTCCGAGAGGGCCATCGAGCTGTTGCTGTTGCCCGAAGGAGCCCCATCCCTTGTTTTGGACATCGGATGCGGCTCAGGGATTAGCGGAAGCATTTTGGAGGAAAACGGGCACTACTGGGTGGGAATGGACATTTCCTCAGCCATGCTAGGTGAGCCACAAGCTTGCAATTAATTAAGTTTTAATGAAATATGTTCCATGTTGCAGATGTAGCAGTTGAGAGGGAAGTGGAAGGCGACTTACTTTTAACGGACATGGGACAGGGCTGCCCATTTAGGGCTGGTAAGCAATAAAAGCCCCATCAACAAAATCACGAGCATTTTATTCCAATTAACATTCTTTCTAGGGGCTTTTGATGGCGCAATATCCATTTCAGCCCTACAGTGGCTGTGCAACGCAGACAAGTCCCATCATCGCCCTGTACAGAGACTGTACAAGTTCTTCAGCACCTTGTTCGCTTGTTTGGTAAGCTTCAGTGCGTTTCCCTAATGAAAGCGTGGATTCAACAGTATTTTGCTACAGAGTAGGTCGGCCAGAGCGGTTCTGCAGTTTTACCCGGAAAATGGGGCCCAAATGGAACTGGTGACGAGTCAGGCAATGAAGGCGGGGTTCTTTGGGGGCGTCGTGGTTGATTACCCCAATTCCACCAAAGCGAAAAAGTTTTATTTGGTGCTGATGACGGGGGGAAGCGTGGCGCTGCCTAAAGGATTGGGGACTGAAGGGGCTTCAGATGGTGAGTTTTGGTGTTTTTACGGGTTATAAAAAAGATTGAAAAAGAAATGGAAAGTATATGTGTTGTTTAGCTCTATTTCTTTGCAAAAAGTTTGTAATTTTTGTTATTATTCGCACAAGTTTCAGTATAGAGTCAGGTTGGCCGAGCGGTCTAAGGCGCCAGATTTAAGCTCTGGTTCTCGAAAGGGAGCGTGGGTTCGAACCCCACACCTGACAGACTTTTTCCCTCTTTTTTTGCATATGCCTGTCGTTCCTGTGGTTTTCGCTTCAAAAGCTCAAAAAAATTGGCTGAAATTTTCGATTTTTTTCCTTGGAAGTTTTTCTCTAATGAATTTTCGGCTGATCCGGGCAACCATTTTTTCCAGGTGTTGACTATGCCCGAAGGGATCGCGCTAAGAATCTTCGCAAGCCCTTGAAGAGCGTCCGGACCTGGATCCAGGAGAAGAAAGAGCGAAGACGCAGACAAATGAAGAAGGTGCGGCCCGATTCGAAATACACAGGCAGGAAGCGATGCGGCCGCTTTTAACAAATCTTTATCTGTCTAAATATGCTTAATTGATTATAGGTGATACTCTACATGGATTTTTCTTCTCCTTTTTAGTCAGATCGATGATTTTCGATATTTATTCACTAGCTGTGTTAGTCGGTTATTATGGATATTGAGGCGAATGCGCCTGGAAATTCGAGTCATTTAAGGGTGGATTTATTGCATTGGATGAACGGGGCAAATAAAAATGAAGAAAAAGTCTTATTTTCAATGAGGCAACGAGCATATTGAAGTATCGAACGCATCTGAAAGAATGCCAACGACCGACAGGTGTTGGTTATCGCATTTAAAATAAGGCAAAAATTCATTTTAGTTCATTTGCTTTTGTATGCAAAATGAGCAAATGCGCTTTCATTTTCATAGGCTCCGCCAATCAAACACCGGTTTTCATACTGGTTTATATGCATTCTTATCGGGCTAGCGTGGACAGAAAGGCGAATGCGCCCGGATATTTTTAACGCTTATTTGTCGTCGTTGCTTAAGTTACCGCATTAAAAACCATTTGTATAAACTCTTTATTAACGGCTTGGAGTGTTTTAGCCCTTTTTGCAATTCAGATTTTTTTAACAAACTGATTGAGGACACCATTTTGAGACGCTTAAACGAAGAATGTTGCTTCATAGTTATGAAAGAAAAGATAGTCTTTTAGCTTCACTTGGCTTGAGGTAAAATTTCGTTGCATCTCTGCATGAAAAAGAACGAGCAGTTCACTGAAATGCGGCCCTTTTCAGCAAAAAGTTGATGTTTGCWGGATGCTTGATCGTTTTTTGGTCAAAAGCTGCGTTCCGGATTTTTCGCGTTTTCTCCGCTTCAACGTCTCATTATATTTCAATTTCATGATTAAAMAAAAAATCGGAAAACTCCATATGCGCCCAGGCCTCAAACACTCAWATTAACCACAAAATCAACGAAAAACCCARCAGAACTGAACATTTAGTCATTACTTAGTCCTATGACTAAAACCTAAGATATGTGTTACAGTATTTATTACTTTGCGGTGCGATTCTCGCATAAATCATGAACTTTTCTTACCTTTCAACTTAATAGTTTTTTTGAGTTAAAACGTTTTATGTGCAAAGTTTCAAAGTTTCCACGCCGCTTCGGGCATTTGGGCCATCAACCAAGGGAACTCTTTAACAAAACATTGTTCCGAAAATGTGCTAGTATGCTAATTACATTGAGCTAACGTCCATTCGGCTCCCAAGTTTTGGTTCATTCTCCAGGGCGCCTTATGGATTTTATGGTCAAGTGAAGTGGATGAACGTGTTCAAAAGTGCAGGCAGTACACGAGTAGAAGAATCAACAGGTTTCCTGAAAACAGATTTTTTACCAGTCAATATACAGGGTGTGTGACTTGGGGGTTTACCTAAAGTCTGTGGCACGCCACTCGTTGTGGGAACGGGTTTGTACACTTCGACTTCATCGAGAAACTGGTAGGTTGCATTGAATCCGCTGCCATCCAGTCGGTCATTCGACTTAAAAGTGACTCGGAAGAACTTTCGGTCGGATTCGATGTCGAACTCTTTCAGCTGACCGCAATGCCGATGGTACTTTCGATCCAGCGCTATGAAGTTGGAAAACTCCACGTAGTCACTGGCTGAAGACGCTTCACATCTGGAATTTCATAATACAATGAAAATGGTTTTGAAACATGTTGGCTGTGGCTCGAATGGTTCTTGAGAAAC